GAAAATTTTCAAACACGAAAGTATCTCAATAACTACCTATTTAAAATTGATAGTTTTTTTATTTATTTTAATTCTATGAATCAATAGAATTAAAATAAAAAAATTTTAGATAAGTAGTTATTGTCGTCCAAATTTTTTTTGAACTGTTGAGCGATGATATTTCGTTAACTACCTACTTAAAATCGATGTAATTTTTTTTATTTTGATTATATAGACTCATAGAATTAAAATAAAAAAAATTGAGTTTAGATATGCAACTATATACTGAGATATCATCGCTCAAAGTTCAAAATAGACTGCGACAAAGTTTTTCCAAGCTTTGAACGATGTTAACTCAATACCTACTTATCAAAAATCGATTATTTTAATCGTGTTTATTTATATAATTAAAATAAAAAAAATCTGTAGCAATTTTAGATAAGTAGTTATTGAAACTAGCTTGGATACTTAGACAACTGTCACATGACGATCGGCAACATGCATAACCTAGCACAGATTTCTGATTGGTCAACATTGGTAGATGCACGTGAGTATAGTCCACATTTTGATTGGTTGACATATTTGTTTCAATGGAAAAATCTTCCAGTTAAAAATCTTAACTGAACACTGGAAAAATCTGGACGTCCTCTAGTAGTTCCAGCTTCCAGTTAACAACACTGTTCAATAATACTTGCATACTCGTACATGCTATCGATCTATTACTTAACCAAAATTACACTTACTATAACTTGTGTATTGGTGGACAGTTGATCAAGATATGTTTTAACTATAATATTCAGAATACGTAAAATCTGTGCATTAGCTACGGGGCTCAATGTTATTACATAGCGTATACACTAGTGTTCGGGCTAAATTATTTCTAAAATCCGAAATATTTTGCCAATAAGAAATAATTTCGGTTCAAACCGCAAAATATATAGTAATGCACTTTTTGAAGTCCGAAAACATTTCGCCAGCGTAAAATAATTTCGTCTGGGCGAAATATTTTGGATTCGCCCGAAACACTAATATACACAGTTTCTTAAGTTTAAATCTTACATGTAACGTCTCAATCATCTTTTTTTTGTTGACCATTTGTAGCATTTTATATATGCAAAAATACCGTTCCTGATGGATCGTCGATACTGTTCCTGATGGGATGAAAAAAAATCGATTTACGTACCGTTCCTGATAGAGTTCTAAAAACTAAACTACCGTCGAGATATAAAGCTACTGCATAAAAATTTGACAGTCCACAATTACTGCCAAACCAAATTATAAGATCAACGCATAACATAAAATTCAAAAAAAACTCCCCGGAAATTTAGTATTCAATCATTTAATGAAGTTTTTCAACCAAATATTCTTACCGAATTCGCACGAAATAACGCCCATGGACATTATTATTTTAAGACACGTAATTCAAAGAGAGCTAATATTTAATTTAACTGAATACAACCATAATTAATGTTAATAATTCTTTTGCAATAGCGCCTATGGAAGTTTTTTACGTAGACACGGTACTGTATTTTTAAGGCCAATATTTAGGCAAGTTGAAATCAACATTGTGAATTAATCACGGGTAGGGTATGCAATGGGCCGGGCCAAACCCGATAATTTGCGGGTTGGGCCGGGTTTGGGCCGGGCCTGGGCCTGGATTTTTAGGCCCATAAGTTAATTGGACCGGGCTCGGACTGGGCTTGTAAAAACGGGTTGAGCTTGGGCCGGGTTAAACCCGGTAATTTATATAGGTTAAGCATTGTTTGGGCCATACTCGGGCCTAGATTTTTAGTCCTATAATGAATTGGGCCGGGCCCAGGCTGGGCTCATGATTTAACGGGTTGGGTTCGGGCACAGGCAAACCCGGTCCAACCCGGCCCATTGCACACCCTAATCACGGGTCGTGACTTGGAATTCGCATTATATAACTAAGCATCGACATGAGAAATTAATCGGGGTTCCTTTATGAACCCTATCAGGAGCAGTACGTAAATCGGGGTTTTTTCACTCCATCAGGAACAGTACCAATGATCCATCAGGAACGTATTTTTGCCTTATATATGTTAGTACTAGCAATAAATAGTAAAAATATTCGCCTCTAAGTGAGTTCTTGGGATTGTGGATTATTTTGGGTTAGTTTTAACAGTGAATATTTACGTTCGTTTAGAGCTAGGAAACGTTACGTTCCCAAAAGAGTGTACCTGGGCAATTGATTTACATCAGCCAATCAGGTAATTAAATCTGCAAACGCCAACACTATGCAGATCAGCTAAAGTCAGCCAAAACTATATAACTTAAGCCGGTGCCAAGATACCATAAAAAAGTTTTTTTGTCTTAAAAATTATTATTTATTGCCAGCATGGCATATTAATTAATCAACAAAAATAATCATAAACCGAGATTAGAGGATAAAAAGGGAAGTTTCATTGACAAATCTCGAGTTGGAAGTAATCGCTTCGATTTCACATAGAGATGTTAAGTGGTCCACGATGAACTGGTTCGGACCGAGTCTGGACTGGACAGTTCAGAACTAGTCCTAAAACTAGTCCTATAATCTTGTACCTTAAAACACAATACTCGTTCACTATGATTCTATACATTAAACCACTAGAGTAGGACCGGTTTTTTAATTATTTTTTGACAGAGGGGTGAACTCGTCCCTTAACGTTAACTAGTCCAGGACCAGACTTTTTAGAAACCGGACCGGGACTGAACAAGACGAACCATTGAACATCCCTAATTTCACATCACACTTGATCCTGCATCTTGATTGGCCCATAACAAATCTCTTCTTTTATTATTATGTAGATTTATCATATCGATATAGCTGTTTGTACGTCAAATTCGGATCAAAATTTCATACTGTTTTAGGATGAAACCATATGTGAAGGTAAAGATAGTTATTGGCGGCGTTATAATTATTTGATTTGACGCAATTTTATTTTGACACAATTTTTAATTTGTTCATGCGGTTATTTATACAAATTTTAAAGTTTTTCTACAAATAGACAATTTTATTATTACACCAGATTTTGGTATATAACCCACTCTAGTTAAGATGGTTTAGTGTACTCTATTAGTAATCTTACCCACGTTTTCTATATTAATTGCTTTAGACGCATGCATGCATTCGTTCATATATGGGTACGCATCAAAACAGCCCAATTTTTACATGTAGATCATTGTGAGTAAATGATAATCTACATATCTGATATAAAAATTTTTCGGCAGATAGCGTATGAGAACTATCTAACTATCTCTAAACGACAAGTGCCGTGCCTGTAGTAACAGTAAGTGATAAACTCTGAAACTATCGGCAGATAGCGTATGAGAACTATCTCTAAACGATAGTTGCTGTCCTAAGGTCCCTCTTTTACTTCAAGTTCGTTTTGTGGATCTTTTTACTCTTATTATTTATGACAAACTTTTTTATTAAATAGATATCTATCAAAAATCAAATAAAACAATTTTCAAAGAATTGTTTTAATATGTAATACCCCCATATGCCATTTGTAATCACATGTCATTAGCATATAATATCCTTGGATCTGTTCTTAAAAAGGGTTAACAGCGATTTGCACGAGTTGATGCGTTGTCGACTATATGGGTTCCCTTGTACCACTCACACTAACGCTGGTACTACACTAAAAGAGATCTGATATAAACAATTTCAAGGAAAATTTTCTTTTAGTCGTTATTATGCATAAAATTATATTATCCTTTAATATTCTTTAAGAATAATCTTTAACAAATATTTATTTTTTAAACTTAAAAACGAGCATCTGGTTAGTTTGCAACAATCTAAGTGATTGATAATTAGATTATATTTTAAATACGTAAAAAAAAAAACAATATATATTACTGTATTTTTTAATGATTTGATCAGAGCATAGCACTATTGTATATACTATGGGATGCTTTAAGTTCATTCTTGTGCGTATAAGATAATGCATTGCTTAATAGGTCAGGTAGAATTGCCAAAATAAGTTAAAAAATAAATATGAGGACCTATTAACTTTCGGTGTAATGTAGAACAACGTCAAATACGATTAATATAATATAAATTCTTAGACACAGATACAATTGAATCTCTTTCCAACACTGTTAACCTATTCTTTTTAAAAAAACTCTGAAAACAATAAAAGGTTAAGAATTATTAAGTATTATCCTGTTTTTTTTATTCTGTTTCTGTTGCTTATACGTAGATCCACTAAGTTGTCAGTTTCGATTATGTATTAATATTATGTACCATTTTAGAAATTCCCATATGATTTTTAATTGTTCTTAAAAAATACGAACGTGATAGACCTTATTTAGAAATAAATTGATATCGGTATATTAATTAAAAGGTGACGCAGGGCAGGCTCTTCAATCAAATTTGCGCATGCAACTTCTATGCACATATATAACTGGTGTTTACAATACGATGTAGTGGCTTAAACTTTTTTTTTTTTTTTTTTTTTGCATACGTGGTTTATTGTTCGATCAATGCGGGTAGAATGTAAAAAAAATATAAATAATGCATCTCAAATTCATCAATCCCTCTCTTTCTTCAAATTTTTAGTTTTTTTTTTTGATAGCATTAAAGATCCAACTTTTATCTCAATCTTTAATCTGCTAACATGCCGCCTCTCGAACCTTTTCCTATCCACTCTTCAGTGGAACCTAGTGATGAGATTTGTGTTGAAGGCGAAATAAAATCTCTAATATATAAAAAAAAATTAGATGAGGGTATTTTTTTAAAAGATACAGTTCCCTCGATTACAGAAATAAAGAAAAATATTCCTGCTAAATATTTTAGTCCTTCAATTAAAACATCATTTAAATATGTTGCCTGGGATTTAATGATTGTTGCTATCGTATTTGCTACTTATCTTACGCTTGATTCCATCGGATCTATTCCATCAATTGTTAAAATCTTTGTTATACTTCCCTCTTACGCATTTATTCAAGGCACCATGTTTTGGGCTATTTTTGTATTGGGTCATGATTGTGGTCATGGTAGTTTTAGCCGTTACCCTTGGCTCAATGACGTCGTCGGAACATTTCTTCATACTTTGATCCTTGTTCCCTATACTCCTTGGAAATTAAGTCACCGTCATCACCACAAAAACACTGGCAATATTGATAAAGATGAAGTATTCTTTCCCCTGAGAGAGTCAGAAGCTTTTTCAATGACTAAAGGTGTTAAAAGCACAAAACTCATCCCTTATTTTGGATTTGGTATCGGTTGGATCATTTACTTGATTGTTGGTTATGGAACAAGAGCAACATCTCATGTAAATCCATACGACCCTCTTTTCGCTAAAAATCGCGCTGGCGCTATTACTTCAGTTACTTGTGTACTTTTGGCACTGTTCGTTCTTTGTAACGCCTCTATTCATTTCGGTATTTTGGCTGTAGTAAAATACTATTTCCTTCCATGGATAATTTTTGCTTCTTGGTTAGTGATCACTACTTTTCTTCACCATCATGGTTCCGAAGAAAATATAAAACTTCCGTGGTTTTCCAACGATCAATGGAACTATGTCGTTGGTAACCTTTCTTCTGTTGACCGTGACTATGGCACCTTACATGATGTCACTCACTCTATTGGTACACATCAAGTTCATCACTTGTTTCCAGCAATTCCACATTATTATCTTAAAGAAGCTACAACCTCGTTCCGAAAACGCTATCCTCAATTTAAACGTGAATCTAATAAACCAATTATCAAATCTTTTATTGATACCTTTACCGTATGGAAAAGACAATTTATCATCTCTGATGATACAAAAGTTTTCGTTTACACAAATGAAAACGAAGGAAAGAAACAAAAATAATTCATGTTCAGAGTTGGACTTTGTTATATGTCTATTTGGAATTTGGAGAAAAAAATAAAAAGTAGTACTGAAATTAGTATATTAGATTTATTACAATAACTTATTTACTTTGAATAAGAAATTAATATTGTATTTATTATTGTATAACTAATTTTTATAAAAATATGAAGCAAAGATATTAATATTTTGCACAGTATTGCTTTTTTTTCCTTTTGAATTATTTCGTTGTAAATTTATTTTTTTTTTCTTGCCTTTGATAATGCATGTATGTAATAAACCCCAATTAAAACCTATATTTAGATTACATATAATTATTAACCGTTGTTATATTGTTTTGCCTCGGTTACGTTCCCATGCAACTCTGAATCCTCTAAAGAAAAAGAAAAAAAAATGAATTTCATTGATTAGGTTTATATAGATATGAAAACATTATTTGAAAAAAAAAACATACTTATCTGACCAAAAAATTACATCACTCTGCCAATCTTTGTCGTCCAATTCTGCCACAAATTTTCCAAAGTTTTCATTCGTCCATTTATGACTTTCTCGCATTGACTCTCCGATACACTGAGTTATGTCTTCAGAATTCATCTGTGCCATATTATGTTTAGTTACGTAGTCATGAAATTTAAGCGAATGAAGTATGGACTTTATCACGTCATTAGATTCAGCATCGGAATGGTAAAGAATGTCAATTGTGTTAATTGTGTTGGAATAGTTTAGTAAATAATTTTCATTCTTAAGTCCATTAGGCAGCCATAAATATAAATATATATATCAATATGAGCATGAAAAAAAATATATATATTAGAATGATGACAAATTGTTTGAAAGATTACCCCCAATACATCCAAAGAATTCATCATATCTTCAGTTTTGCGGAACGCGTCTGATGCAGGAACTCCTAAACGTATTTTAACACCTATAGGACTTTTTCCTGGTTTGACCCATTCACCAAAACCAATTTCTCTATCCTTAAGTTCTTCCATAGTCGGAACTTTACCACAATCGATATATTGCCTGCTAATTAATGATAGTTTCGCCTGATTCAAAATCTCGAATTGTGCCGAGTTCAAAAGTGATAATGTAGCGTACACGTTGATGGGTGCAAGGACAGTAAAACATGCAAACAAAAAGGCCGGATCATGAGAAATAGTAATCATGCCAATACCGCAAAACATTCTATTAAATACGAAATAATGATAATAGTTATTTATTTTTGAGCATAATTGAAAAAAGTGGTTAAAATAATTAGATGATGCTGACCCAAGCAAGTGCGCCAGAGACATTTGCGCATCATCTTTAGCAACAATATCGCCAACATTTCCAGAAAGCTATGAAATATCAATACGGTAAATTTAATAAATAACGGTGAAATTTTTATGTATTCTTTTCGACTTACAGCAAAGTTTCGGATAAATGCCATATGTGTAGCTCCAAATATACTGTATTGAATGCTTTCAAAAGCATTTCCCAAAGAAGCTAACGGTAAAAAAAGTGAATTCTTTGCTATGCATGTGCATAGCTGGAGAAAATATCCTGTGATAGCAAATATTTCACTAATCTTGTATATATAGAAAAATAAATAAATAAATATTATTACCTAAAAAGAATAATAAATTACAGGATTAATTATTTACCATTTTCCATGATTTGGGATGCGAATCAAAGGAGTATGCGAATCTTTTTATAAAAAATAATTTTCCTATTTCACCAAAACCGTCTTTAAGAACCCTACGTTATCCTCACAGAATTAATCATTATGACAATTCGATCTTCCAGATAAGATACATGAATATGAGAAAAAAATTATATTTATAAACGTTGAAACCTAAAGTGCCTACCATTGAATCGCAACCGCGCCAGCCGCCGCTTCTGCATGACCTAAACCCAAAGAAGAAAGCATGGCTTGACTACATAAAACACCCGTCTTAAAAAAACGGAAAAATAAATTAAATTAATGTACGTCTTATAAAAAAAATAAAAAAAATAAAATTTATACATGAAAAAAGATACCGATGATCCTATAAACGTTTCTAAAGACAACCAAACATGGAATTTAGCATAGCACTCATGGACCGTCTCTGGATAACTAAGATATCCTTATTAGTACTTTAGTACTAAATATTTACACACGAATTTCAACCAAGTATGACTTACCCAACTGGAAGAAACATGGCACTCAGGCTTTGCTTGATACTTCCAATAAAACTGAGTACCTTACTCTTTTCTTCCGGAACCCCAGTACTTGAAGTTGTAGTTTGCCATTGCCAATAAAGCGGAGACGAAGACGCAGTCGGTGAAGATTTAGAACTTGTTGGAGAATGGGAAGAGCCAGGTGGAAGCGCAGTATAAATACGTGTTCTTCCGTACAATAATTCCTTGAGGATAGGTTTACTATCTACATTTTTCGCATTTTCGTTTGTTGTATAATTGTTATGAGAAACCACTTTCGTAAAGGGTGAAAGACGAAACTTAAAGCCGGCGAAAGACGAAAGACGAAACCCCCTGGCAAAGGACGAAACCCCTGGTGAATGGTGAAACCCCTGACGAAAGGTGAAACCCCTGGCAAAAGGCGAAACCCCGGGCGAAGGGTAAAACCCCCGGTGAAAGACAAAACCTCTGAAAAAAGACATCTTGAAGCTCTAATAAAGACAAAAGGTAGAGCTATGTTAGTAAACAAATGCATGTTTTATTGTTAATATACAGATATAAGGTAGACGAAGGGGGTAATTTGACGAATTGAGATATCTCGTGACCAGTGTTTAAAATTCAGAATTGATTTTATGTTCTCAAAAAAACATTTTTTAAAATTTTAATGTTCTCAAAAAATTTTTAATGTTCTCAGTATTAGAAAATCAAAAATTTTTTAATATTTAAATGTTCTCAAATAGAGAACATTTTCCAGTAATTCATGTTCATAAAAATTGTTAAATGTTCTCTGAGAACACTGAGAACATCAAATTTTAAACACTGCTCGTGACCCAATTACTGGATTCGAATGGTGAATGAATCCAGTCATTATGTATAAGATACATAAGATACTCAAGATATATTCCAATTCGTCAAATACACATCTCGAGCGATTTTTATACCATTTTATTCTCTCAATACGATGAATTGATGGTATAAGAATCGTCATTGAGCCATGAGAGCCGTGAGATATAGTCTCAATTTGAGAGCATCGTTTCATTGGAGATAATTTACGAAGGAAGTTAACAAAATCCAAAAAAAAGATTGCACTTCACCAGAACATAGAAATTTAATAAAAACAAAAATTCTGAAATTACTGTATATTTATCCAAAATTATTTTATCCTGAAATAGATAAAAAAATAAAATTTTCTATAAAATATTATATGTAAAATTTTTTTCTCTAAGTCACTTTGATAATCTCAAAATATTAGACCGCACTCAATATCTTGTGATTCACTGGCCCGAATTAGGGATAGCGCGGATCTGCGCATAGATCTGATTTTACCGCAGATGCCTGGTGACTCTACATCCAAACCAAGAATATCATCGTAGAGGATGCAAAGGAACAAGGAAAAGAGTTATGGCTTCTGATAATCTGCGCATAAAATGGCCGGAATAAAGATAAAGTAATATCGGTTTACTAATTTCCCCACCAGTTCCTATTGAACGCATAGAAATCTTGCTTTTTATTTGGGCGAAACATACGTTAACAGATTTTGAAAATTTCAATTCGATCAAATAATGGGCACGAATGTTAGTATTAAAGCAGTAAAAGTTTAATAAGAAACATTTATTTTTGATCCTTTTTTTTTTGTAACTTTATGTTATACGTACTGATTCTGGTGATTGCATATTTTGCATATTTCTATCCGATTCGCATAATATACAGCATAATTTTAACATAATTCGCATAAACCGACAGGAGAATATCAGAATCATGTGATTCTAATCATTGGATCGCGAGTATTAATATTCAACCACAGTATTTTGGTTTATAGTGCAATAAAGTTTATTGCAGCATTGCCTAGTGCACTGACCAAAGTGTCTCTTTTCCGTACCCCAGTTAAAATACCCGGGTATTTTACATGGCGTAAGCAAATTACTTAATCAAAAGAATACATATAACTCGGGTTATTGCTGTATTAGTGAGGTGGCTATCTAACCTAATTTTCAAAATTTTGATCAAAGTAATTTAATTGTAATGTTTTGAAATAACGGTTCCAATAAAATAAGAATGCCGTGCAAACCAACATTATTGGTTAGTTGAGCCTTCTATGTTTGATATAAAGAATAAAAATCTCCAGAACAGTCGTTCGGTATAGAGGAAGTCGATGTATTTATAAATAATTGACATTAAATATTCAGCTTTTTATTTTAGTTTTTTGCTTTAGTAAGTTTTACTACCTTTCACTAGTTTTGCCATTTTACTTTTTTAAATTTTTTGGCGAAAGTCAAAACCGTGGTTTCATCTTTCGCCAATGACGAGTTTGCAGTGTCGGTCTTTTGTAAGTATTTTACTTTTGTTGAGCATTGACGCTGACTGCATCGAGAAGTACTTTCAAGAAAGGAGTTTGTCAAATCCTAGTAAGCTAAGACGCGTAATTTCGTTTCCCATAAAAATTACTATGCTTCTGACCATAAATAACGTCCGAATTACTATCTTTTGAAAGTAGCGCACACTACAAAATAGAATTGACATCGTTGATATATTCTTGCATTACTGCATTAGATAGAGTGAAAAAAAAATCAAACTCAAACTTAGATCCCGATAAGGGATAAAGATCCGCACAGTATCACATGAAGTATGATGACTATAAAATTATAACTTTACCGAATTACATGATGTCATCTTCCTCGAGGAGGGAAATTCTGGAAAATTATAAATACCCGAAGGACTGATTTCGCTCGCGAGTTTACTTATTCAGCAATATCTTTACGATCTAAAAAGATCCTATTTCCTTCTTTTCACAAAGCTGCGTGCAATGGCAACCGATACAACAGAGGCTTTCTTGGTGGAAGTGAATGCTCTGTTCACCTCTCAAGATAAAGCAAGAAGAGAACAGGCTGATATTTGGTTGCAAGCTTTTCAGAAGACGGTAATATGTTGGAAAAATCAGATCTAAACTAACAACTAAAACGCTGTTCGAATTCGTCTCAAGCATTATAAAGACTTTCAACACCAATTTCTTTTATACCGTCCTCAACTACAGTCAGAAGCTTGGGCTTTATCTGATCAAATTCTAAGATCACAAGTAACACCTGAAACGGCGCGATATTTTGCTGCCCGAACTTTTCGGCAAAAGGTATGGATCCCATACGTCTAATAACTATTGAACCTCAAGTTGACGCGATTCTTTCTTTCCTGACCGGTAAACTTTCGCATTTTCAAATCGGTCCCTCAAAATAAAATTACGAATCTCGTCTGATATTGGTCGTTAACATTAGATAACGCTCGACCTACATCAACTCGATAATGCTGCACGAATTTCTCTTCGCGATTCGCTTTTGGAATTACTTTATCAATATCGTGAAGGTCCTCGTAAGATTATTACTCAGATATGTCTTTCTCTTGTGGCATTAGCTCTTCAAATGCCCGAGTGGCAAAATGTGTTACCTCAATTTGCAGAATTATATGGTAAAAACCCTGATACTGTAAAATGTTTGTTAGAATTTCTTAAAATTCTTCCAGAAGAAGTCAATACAAATAATCGTATACCTATATCGGTGAGAATAAATTTTATTATTCATATCTCATGACTTGTGAATCACAACTTTACATACTTTTAATTTGTAATTATAGGATGAAGACTATAAAATAAGATCGAAGGAGCTATTAACGAATAATGCCAATGAGGTTTTGCAAATGCTTTTAATTTATTTACAAAGTTCGGGTAACTAGGGTTATATTTCTCTGATTCAATAAAAAAAAAAAAAAAAAGTTATATTTTTGTCGAGATCTAACAATTTACATATATTCAGGTGAGAATATTGATTATCAAATACAGGTTTTTGAATGCTTTGAAAGTTGGCTTTATTCTGGTGACATTGCCATCGCTAGTTTGGAAAATAATCCATTTTTAGGTCATTCATTTGATGCTTTACAATCGGATGAATTGTACGACATAGCTGTTGATGTTGTGTGTCGGATTATTCATGAAACACGAGACACCGCTGATTCAATGCCAGTGATCGAACAAATATATCCCCGTTTATTCCCTCTGAGAGAATCATTAAAAAGAGCGATTGAGGAAGAAGATGATGATAAAGTACGAGGATATTGTCGAATATTTACGCAAGCTGGTGAATCATATTTGGAGCTTATTGTCCAGCATGCCGATGCATTCCAAAGTATTGTGGAAAGTATAGCTGAGTGCGCGGCGTATCATGATACAGAAATCGTCCGAATAACCTTCTTCTTTTGGCATAGATTGGCCGATACATTATGTGAACCAAGGCATTCGGACATTCGAGGAAGATTTAAAACTATATATTTAAATTTAGTTGATGTCATGATCAAACATTTACACTACCCCAAGGATCTTTCAACTTGGACGGCAGAAAGACGTGACGAATTCCGAGAGTTCAGACATGTGATGGGTGATGTCCTAAAAGATTGTTGTCTTATTTCAGGTTCACAAGAATGTTTAACGAAACCTTACACAATATTAGCCCATCAACTTTTGAACACAGCAAATGGAAATATGTTAGAGTGGCAGCAAATTGAGGCACCATTGTTCTCATTGAGAGCAATGGGATCAGAGATACCAGAAGAAGAAGAAATTGTCTTACCTCAAATTATGCAACTTCTCCAGCAGTTACCAGATCATCCCAAAATTCGTTATGCAGCTACACTAGTCATTTCTCGATATTCTTTTTGGACAAAGAAACATTCACAATTTATTCCGTATCAATTGAATTTTATCTCATCTGGATTTGACAATGAAGAAGTATCAGCGGCTGCCTCAATGGCATTGAAATATTTATGTAAAGACTGTAGTGAGGTATTTAATACTTAATCATTTTTACTTTTTTGTATGTCTGACTTATTTATTCAACTATGTTCGAATACAAATTAGCTATTAGTTGAATATCTCCCACAGTTACATCCATTTTACCTTAATGTCACAAATAAACTTAATGGATCAGACTTACTCGAAGTTACGGAAGCCGTGACTCATGTCGTCGCTGCTGTTCCTCCAGCAGAAATATTAAAGGCATTGCAGACATTTTGCTTACCTATCGCTCAAGGACTACATTTACTTGCCAATAAGGGTGCTGGAGCAAACGAGAGAGACATTAGAAATGCATGTGGTAACAAATTAAAATTGTAACTTAGTAGTTATATAACATGATTTTCTTATATCGTATCTAACTTTGTATATTGTTTATTTTTTATGTATTTAAGATAAATTAGAACAATTTTCCATGATTTTACGTGTTTTTGCAGAGCGTCAGAAAAAAGATGATGCGACTGATGTTGCCTCTTTACCGGTTCACCCCTGTATATCTATTATACAAGAATTGTGGCCTGTATTTGACCTTCTTCTTATGAATTTTGGGGCAGATCCACATTTATCAGAAAGTCTTTGCAAATGTTTCAAATATTGCATAGTATATTATCCGACGGCGTTTCGTCCATTACTTCCAGAATTCATGGATCG